ATGTCAGTGTGTGAGTAGCGGCCTGTATGTCATGTCGGTGTGTGAGTAGCGGCCTGTATGTCAGAACGTGTGACTAGTGTTCTGTATGTCAGAGTGTGAGTAGTGTATGTCATGTCAGTATGTGAGTAGCGACCTGTATGTCATGTCAGTGTGTGAGTAGTGTATGTCATGTCAGTGTTTGAGTAGCGGTCTGTATGTCATGTCGGAATGTGAGTAGCTGCCTGTATGTCATGTCGGTGTGTGAGTAGCGGCCTGTATGTCATGTCAGTGTGTGAGTAGCGGCCTGTATCTCATGTCGGTGTGTGAGTAGCAGCCTGTATGTTATGGTCAGTGTGTGAGTAGCGTCCTGTATGTATGTCAGGGTGTGAGTAGTGTTCTGTTTGGCATGTCATTATGTGATTAGTGCCCACTGTGTTATGTAAGTGTGTCAGAAATGTCCTTTTCGTGAGGTAAGTGTGTTATGCCTTATGTGTCAGTGTTACATTACATTACAAGAGTAGTGTTACATTACATTACATTACAAGAGTCATTTTTATTATTTATTTCAAACGAAAAAGTGTTAGTATTTTAAGTGGAGTAGTAGGTGATCGAACTCGCAACCCCTTGACTTGTAGTCAGACAGTGTTACCACTGCACTACAGCGCCTGCTCTGATTTAGAACTATTTTTGAAGTCCTTTATATACATTAGTGACCTTTTAAATTTTCACACCTAAAAAGTTAATATACCTGTTAAGGTCTAAAGTGTTTTACAATGACTGATACTCGTGTCCTTGCCCGAGGGGTAAACACAAACGAGCAGTAAAAAAGAAATTAAGTTATTCGAATACCAAGCTACCAACAAACCTACTACCAAATTGACGCTAAAATTGTGACTAGGTAGAACTATTTACATGGTATCATATTTATTTTCTAGTTATTGTGAAAGAAGTGTTACAAATAAATAGGAAAAAAACAAGTCAGAAGCAAAACAAGTAAAAATAATCAAAAAAACGAAAAAGAAAAAAAAACAAGAGCTGTCAGAGTAGACAGCAAGCTCGACTAATAAACACTGGTTTCTTTACACGCAGTAATGAAAGACAAAACAAAAATCAACATTTCAGCTGTTTAAAATTTTTGCACTATATGGGCATGTAATCTTGTAAATGAGGGTAAAAATGAAAATATCATTGACAACTTGAAAACTTCTGAGAAGTTACTGAAAAAAACAAAAAGCAATAATCTGAAGTAAATTCATAACAAATTAATCACAAAAATCGTAAAGAGTAAAACGTAGTTAACGTGCATGATATTTTCAAGCAAAGCTCGAGTGCGAGCGTGTTTATGCTAATATGCAAGTTTTTAAATTCTGAGTCTTACCGATCTTGTCCGAGCTGTAACTTTAACTAAAAATTGAAGGAGCTTCTTAAATGAATTTGTACAGATATTAATTTTAATTAGACGGTGTCTGGTATGTATTTTGCGATGAATATGTGAATGAAGTTATTTAGCATAAATATTTAGCAAGATGCAACAGTTCAACAAAGACAAAATTCATATATTTGGATCACAGACTTATTTCTCTTTGTGCAGTACAGAAATGTAAATTAACGATAAAAGTCCTACTGAATAGTGAAAATTAAGCCTTTTTATTCGTTTGTCCTTTTGAAACCTCGCGGGCTCCCCTTTTGCCCCTTTTGTGAAAGAAGAGTTACGGGCTCCCCTTCGAGACGGGATATTAAATGCAAAAAATAAAACATTGAAAAAAATGTACTTAAATTTTAAGAAAAGTAAAAATATTCGCTTTTCGATAAATAATTTACATTTTTATGCACTTAATGACTGATTATGGAGTGTTTATCACCATACTTCTACTGCGTGATTAATGCAGTCAGGGCTAATTTTGCATATTCTGGTTTTGTATTTGGTAACTTTCGAAGATTTCAAGTGCTATTTGCAATATATAGATTACTTTCTTTGTTTAATTCACAACATTTAACTTTCAAACAATAAAAATAATTCATGAAAATTTCCATGGATCTTGAAGCACGTTGCTTTAAATATTTAGCTTTTAAATTCTGTATTAAAATCCCAAGCACCAGATTTATATCAGTTTTACATTTGAGCCTTGTTATGACAAAACCAACATAATGGATTTGCGACCAGCATGGATCCAGACCAGCCTGCGCATCCGCGCAGTCTGATCAGGATCCATGCTGTTCGCTTACAAACTCTATTACAAGTAGAGAAACTGATAGCGAACAGCATGGATCCTGATCAGACTGCGCGGATGCGCAGGCTGGTCTGGATCCATGCTGGTCGCAAACCCATTATGTTGGTTTTGGCGTGACGCGGCTCATTTGTATTTACACTTCAAACATGTGATAATAAATATAACCTGTTTTGATATGAAATAATAGCTATGTACATTTATCAAAGATCAATAATAATTATAGGTAAATGTAAAATATTCTAATTAGTATCACATGTATATATACTTTTCATTTTAATTAATTAAAAGTCTCTCGCTTTCGTGAGTTTAATATGAAAGTATAAATGTTAAGATAAATGTGTCGAATATATGGTAAATGCTGGTTAAAACATATTTTGCCATGACAATATTATTGTACACCTTAAATATGTTAAGATAGATGTATTTAACTGTATTAGATCTAATTGCATTTTAAGTTCCTATCTTCAAAATTTTGAACAACCCAATTTCGCATTTTATATGTGTGAGAGTTTGCAGTTGTTGTTATCTTGCATACTAATAGAGCTCGGATAGTGCCAGTGAAAAAAGTTTCTTGCGACGGTTTTACTTTTTTAAGTAAGCAGATTTTGTGACTTTGTCTAATTTCTAGTTCGTGATCTGAATGCTGATCTTATGTACGTTCCGGACGGTCGATGAACTTGGGTCTATGTGTATCATTTTAGACCTGCGAAACCAAGGTCACATGTTTTGTGACCTTAGACCGCCAATAAGTTCATTGACTTGAGAACCGAATATCACTGTAACTATGTGTGGATTTAAACTGACCAGAGGATGGCCGTAATTTCAACCAAATGTCCATTATCTATCTATTCTTTGTACAATGAATGACAGGACAGGAAGTCAATTATTGGTTCTGTGACCACCGCTCAAATACCATTGTTTCTACGAGCGGAGTCAAACTGACCGGAAGACGACCGTAAAACAGGTTCAACTATGTCCCCATTTTTGACAAACATTTTGTCCAAATATTCACTATGTGTATTATCAGTTAGTCATAAGTGCTGCAACATGTGTGTTTAAACGTAAAATGTCCTTAAAAGGTCAAGGTCACTGTACAGTGATGTCATACAAACCTAAAAGGCGAAAAAATAGTCCGATTACTTTATTAAAATTGTAATGTAAATTAATTGTATGGGTTTTGTATCCTATAATAAATGTTTGTTAAATACTTTAGAATATTCACATAATTTACTGTCATGTATATATTTAAAAATAACTTTTTATAGTCTAGAATAGGTTTGAAATTCAATTTTGCAAATTAAAGATAAAACATATAACGTTGCTAGATTTCAGTTGAGAATACTGTTACTATATTGCTATATAAAAATACAACATATAATCAAAACTTCCCTTTTTATAACAATAGGTTTACTATTTCAAGATCCGATCCAATGTTATTGACGTCATCATGTTTCAAACGTCACATGACATGTTGCAACCGTTCCTTTCTTTAAATTGTGCATAGGCGCCACATTTCATGTGACATGTGTACCGCATCTTTTCAGGCCTTTCCGTCAAATTTCGGATAGATGTCTGGAAACATCAAACGGATATGGTATTACGCTGCAATACATGCATATGAACAAAGGAAATAAATGTAAACATCAATCAAATTTTGACTGTTAAACCAAATATTGATAACAAAGCTTTTTCATTTCTGATGACATATGATACTCTATAATTAATTATGACGATCTAATCATAATATCATCATGAAAACCTTGTTGTCCTCCTGATGTTCAATAACTTCATGTAATTATAAGTTCTAGTTTTGTTAACAAAAGTAAAACTACTGTAACCTTTTGTTAACCAACGTTGTTTCCGAGATTATTATTAGTAATCGGAAAGGTGTTCCGGATTAAATCTATACCACCATTCTTTGTAATGATAATATGCAAATAATTACATTTTGTAAAGCAATGTTAGAATATTATATAGCTGTATAACTGTTTTTATTGTGAAATAGTAATTTACATAAGACAAATATTGTTCTAAAACAGTTGTATGGATTTTAACATTACAATATACACCTGTTACAGTAAAAAAGAATATTATCAAATATAATTAAAATCTAAATTATATCAATTGCTTCGGCGTATTTTGCGCGGCTTTGCTAATAAGGCAAAAATATTGGATTCTTTTTATCAGAAGATATGCCATTTTATAAAAACAATTAAAGGAGACTTTTCTTAGAAGCATATTCTTATATTCTCAAACACAACATTTTCAGATTGTATTCATAAAACCTTTGCGTGAAATAACAAAGCGTATTAGCTCCTTTTGTTGCACAAAATGTTTATAGTTCAATCTACTGTTACTATATATTTAAACCGAGATAATTCTTCTTCATAACGTTGTTTAATTATGGAGAAATGGCTAAAAAACGGTTAAAACATTTTCTATAAAACAGAACAAAATTTGAAATTGAAAGAATGTTTTTTTTTGTCCTGAACGGGTTAGATTGATAGGACTCATTTTCTATACAGACCAGCTTCCAACATACTTCTATACATCTAGCTATTGTCAAATGTCTTATATAATTGCCGTGTACATAAGAATATACTTAAAATAATAAAAATAAACAAGTTCTCTGTAACGTTTGATACTGATCTTACTACGAATTATTTTTTTGGCTTGGCCTTTTCAGTGCTCTTTGGTAAAACGGTAAAATGAATGACATTATATAAGTGTTCCCGCATTTAATCTAAATGTCATGCAATGAACTGAGTGTGTCACGAGTGTCGTGAGGAAATGGACCTTTCACCTTGACACTTTACACTATATATACGCATATTTTCACGCAATATTCGCCGCATCGCTTTTTCGCGACGTTAAGACGTTAAAATATATATAAAAAATTTGATCATTTAAAAAGAATAATAATCATGTTTTTCATTAAAGTGGTATTTATTGCATTATATTGTCTGCATCAAGCGGACAGTTTTAAGGTAAAATTTAATACGGTTTCGACGATTTATTTACCGTATACATATACACCGACGCCACAATTCGCACTGGACAAGGACGCCGCGGAACAAATGGCATATGATACAACAGAAAAAATTATCTACTCAATAGGTAAGATATTTTTTAAAATGTTTATCCTTTTTTCTACTTCTTTTGCTAAAGTTCTATTTCCATTCTTTTAACTGATCCCTTCCGTCCTTGTTCTTAAGTGTATTACTTTTGCACATAATTACAGTTCATGAAATATATGGATTAGAAAATGTTCAAGTAATATTTAAAATAGTTATTGTCAGGAATTGAAATATCGAGTGAATAAAAAGCAATTTATTTTAAGCAGTACTCGCATTTTAATATATTTTAAGTATAAAGTCTATATTTTATAAATGTCCTTCTCTTTGTCAACATTATGTTCAAAACTTATTAGTCACCATTGTTATATGACAGTGGCTTCTTGCAAACGCCCTTCTATGCACAAGTGGCCAGTAGATTAATAGTCTGGTTAGGTATATTTGTCACTAGGAAGAATTTATCATGTTCGTAAAGCCACAAGTGACAATGACAAATTGGCTGCGGACGCACTTGATACGTTCAATGATTTATTGTACATATATTAAATGAAATGTATTATGTCCCTGAAGAATAAAGAAAAAATTAGATTAACAGAGAAAATCTTGCTACCATAAGGCATACTCTGTTGTCAAGTTTTGTATTTAAAAAATGAAGAAATTATTTGATTTCATGCTTTAATATCTTATCGAGATTTCAGTATCAAATTCCGTCGACAAAGCCATTTACTCTTACTGAGGAGATATCTAAATAAAATTTTACGTAAACGAATAGGTAACTCGCGTATATTTCTATTGCATTGAGAAAAAAGTACTTCTTTTACATTTCCGTTAAATATTGGTTAACTTTTATGGTATCCAAAAAGTTATATTTGCCAATGACCTGAACTATCTCTTTCATCTGTTGCTCTTTGGCAATAAGTATAGTTATAGTGAATAGTGGAAGTCAAAATACATGTACTACATTGCTTACATTTTGCTACTTTTATGACAAATCATTTCACATTTACCATAACTTTCTTCAGTTAAGAAGCCTCCAATATTCTCTTCATCCATTATTTAAACACTATAAATTCTTGTTTCCCTTAATTCTAAAGAATTAAAACATTATCTGCTTCTGAGACATAACGTGCTTTTAGATTAAGCTATTATTCAGAAGATATATAAATGTTATCTTGCAGGAAATACCAACATTCATGTCATTGACATAAGTAATGTACACCATCCAACAATATTGTTACATCAGTCATACGACCATGTTGACGCTACAGATGTTGAAGTTTGTGGTGACCACGTGTTTATTGCTTTTGATAATAGAACGGTCCGTGAAGAAGGTTTTATTGATGTTTATAAAGTGTACAATAAGACGTCCGGATCCCTTGATCTGGTCCACCGCATCATCGGTAAATGAGTTGTTTGTTTGTTTGTTTTTTTTTATCTAATTTGTGATTAATAATGTGGTAAACCTTAAAGTATAATAAGATATTTTTTTCCTTTTCACTTGATGATGATAAAGAACTGTGTTTCATCTTTTTTGGTTTTACTCATTACGTTTACATTTTGCCCTAATACATATCATTTACATTCTTAAACATCATGTTTTTGGAAGTGACTTATTTTGTTATCTTGATAAAAAATTTAATTGCCTCAAAGTGATCATTACCGTCCACAAGCATGTAAAACGGCGACGACAACTCCTTTAAAGATATATTATGCTCAACTTTGATATCAGGAATTATTGTCAATTGCTACACAGTCTCTTTGTAAATATAAAATAAACATGCTTTGACTTCACACAAAGTAGATATTTCATGTTTAGAACTCTAAACACTATAGGTGGTCACAATATGAATATATAGTGTCGTTAAAAAAACTGGCAAAAAACTGGCAGTTTTTTTAATGAAAATACCAACTTTACTTGTCCTGTTAAAGGGAACACGAATTCGAATATATAGTTAATTCATTTTTTTATTCAAATTAGACATATTTAGTAAGAATTTCATAGGTTTTAACAAATTTCTTTGATTAAAATATTTTACTCAAAGATGAGCATAGTATATCTTTAAAAAGGAAACGGTGGTCTTGTGATAAAAGGTGTCTTTCCCTCAAACCAGATAACATGGGTTCGAACCGTACCGGGTTATGATCATGTTTTTATCATGCCATTACTATGACAACTGCCTGATAAAGCCTGTCTGAGAACAGCAACCTTTCTCAGTCAGTTACTTGAGAACACTATGTTCCTACGCCAGATCAGCACTGATGATGTTTATTGTTGGTATTGTTTGATTGACTTTGCTGAATATTTATGATAATACACAGTAAATAAATTGTTAAAGCAAATTGTACCAAAAATTGTGTTGTGTTATAAAAGTATTGGTAAAAACCCTCGGACTACTTTTTTGGCGTATAACCCTCTTGTGGTTACCGTACTTTCAGAAATTAGCGCCCCGAATTAAAAAAATAAGATGCAAAGTCATAATGGAGGCATTATAAAAAGAATAACAGGTTACTGTCTTTTGAGAAAGGGATTTCTCAGACTCGGCTAGATATGGCCAGGAAGGGGCTCGGCAAGCCTCGCCCCTTCCAGGACCATATCTAACCTCGTCTGAGAAACCCTTTCTCAAAAGACAGTAACCTGTTATTCTCTATTTCTCATATTACATCAGCACTGGTTAGTTTCCGGAAGCGACTCGCCGGTGGTTAAATTAATCTTCAAGTTCTCATTGTAATTGAACAAAAATGAATATGTTGGGACTAAATTTAAAAAAGGTGCATTTCAAAAGAACTTAATTGTTATTATAGTTGGTGATATCCCTGATATGATCCACCCGACCAAAGACTGCAGAAAAGTTATTGTTGCCGTAGAAGCGGAACCATACATTGACACTGCCAACAGTAAACTTGTAGATAACCCCGGTGGTGTAGGTGTCATCACTTTTACTGATAGTAACCTTGGTGGATATACTTACAAAGTTGTCGATTTTGGAACATTCAATTCCAGGTATTGAAAATAAACGGAATGATGTTACAGATTGAAAGATTGATAAAAAAAATACGCATGAATTTGTATGGGACTGTGTAGTCTGTTGAGGGTTGTGATTTGTAACTGTTGAGTTTCGTTTGTTATATCTATTATCTTTTTACTTTTACGTAATTATTAGGTATGTTGAAGTGATCATACTCTAAAAATGTAAACACTTTTTCTCTTATTTTCTTATCATTGTTTACTTGTCAATTTGATACTCGTAGTTTAACATAAGTTTAAGTATATTTAGACCAATTTTCATTTCTTAATTCCAAGTCTAAAGTGCAGATTTCTATATCTAAAATTTTTCAGTTTGTTTTATGTATTTCATGTTCTGTCAGATTCGCCGATTTAGAACAGACAGGTGTACGATGGGTATACAGGGAGAACGGCAACACATTTGCGAACGATATTGAACCTGAATACATTACCTTCAATTCTGATGAAACTAAAGCTTACATCTGTCTGCAGGTAAGTCATTTATTAATTAGTCTATTCTTTTCAATACATACATTTAATATACATATAAATTATATACACGTATGCACTTTTATCGTTTTCAGATGCGTCAAATTCCGTTTTATCAATATTAATACTGCTGTTAAAGTGTCACATATTGTTTTCAATATATTACAGGAAAACAATGCAATTGCGGTTTTTGATATGCAAACTGAACAAATAGAAGATATTCGTGGTCTTGGTTACAAGAACTGGAATGACTTTACGCTAGATGTCAGCGACAAAGACGGAGGTTAGAAATCCATCATGCGATAACTTTTAAAAACTTTTTCCACTTTTCCTTATTATTGGAGACACTTTTTTAATCCTATAAGAATGAAACCAACCAAAGGATACGGCTAATGAGCAAAACAAATCCATATGTTACATGTTTGTTTTGTTGTTTAATGGTATTTTCCAAATGTCGCAACCAACGAGAGCACTCCAACCAAAAAAAGGGGAAAACTAAAAAATGAACCCAAAAAAAGTTATTTATGACTAATTAGCTGTCTTTTAAAGTAAAATATATAAAATGAAAATAATAATAAGATTTAGCAGGAACTAATCAAATATATATTTCAGGTATTCACATGAGAGAATGGCCTGTATATGGCATTTATCAGCCTGATGCAATAAAATTTTATTCACATCACGGTGTGGAATATCTTATTATGAGCAATGAAGGTGATTCCAAGGATTACGCTCCTTACTTTGAAGAGTCAGTTCGAGTTAAAGATATCGATTTATCGTCAGTGTTTGGTAAATATCATTACCTAGCATTTCATTTCTTCAAACCCAGACCATCCATCAAAGTGTTCTAACCTATCAAATGTTTCTTAGATATGTTTTAATTTATTGTAAACACAGGAATTTAAATGTATTGCAAGTTGCTTCATGAACTTTTAAATATATATCTATTCATTGTCGTTTTTATACGCAGAATCGAAAAACCCTTGTACCAATGAATGATTAGAGCAAATCATTTACTCTTGAAACCGACCTGAAATCATTGAATTAGATCAAAGTAATATCAAATATTGCAATATAGTTTTGCAATTTACACTATTTTTTGGCATATAAAAATAATAAATGTTTATACATTTCAGAGAGCAATGCAACTGTAAGACTTCAAATGCAAGAATCGTCTCAATTAGGTAGGTCTTTTCACAAATAGAAGGTTTTAGTAGAAAAAAAAGCCTTAAAAATAAGGGTAACTGTGATCTAGGTTGGAGCTTTGTCTTAATTTATATGTAAGCAATGTGAGGTTTGGGGCATACTTCCCAAGAACTGTTTTGCTCTGGATTGTCAGAGGTGCATTTTGGCGTGTACTTAGCGCATATACATGGGGTGATTAGAAATTGCATGAAGACAACATGAACTTTTTTTTTTTACTTTCGTGCGCGGCCTACATGCAAGCTAAGCAACCAGACCAGTGCTTAGTTTTGTTGTAATTAACTTATGTATATTTTTATGGAGACAACGTTGCGGTAAATTTGTTTAAGTTATCCTTTATATATACCTTCAATGATGTGCTATTTTTGTAATAAAGACTTATTGAGAACCTCCGATAAAAGGCATTCTCAAGACTTGTATTATTTCAAAAACGAGTTGCTTGTGTTTAACGCGCAAATGCACGAACGGTGGCTTTTCACATTGAAAAAAAAATCTCCTAATCTAAATATCAAACAAATGCATTGTAATTCTATTTTGCACTAATTTTACAGGGCGTTTGCACGTATCATCTGTTAACGGGAAGAATTCGACGACAGGCAAATATGACCAGTTATTTACATTTGGAGGTAGAAGTTTCTCAATCAGACGTGCAGATACTATGGAGCTCGTGTATGACAGCGGTATTGAAATAGCTCACAAAACGGCCTTACTACAGCCTAATCTATTCAACAATGATTACAGTGAAGGAAAAACTGTAACAAGATCTGCAGACAGCAGGTCAGATAACAAAGTATGTACTTCTTGTGTATTCTTTATCTGCTTTTCCTTAAAGGCTATATTTATCTCATCATTTTTCAGCGTGTTGATATCAATAGGGTATCTGGTTAATCTTCGTTGCATTTTTACTTGAATAACCGCAACAAGTATGATAGGTTTTTTGTTTTCTGTGAAATGCAATTACTGGTTTTACTGTGAAATATTGTATTTTTCATGGTCGACTAAACGTCGTGTAAAATTCACACTACAACCAAAACCATAATAAACGTTGTGTTCCCATTAGATAAAAAATATTTTTTATTTTTGTACAGTCAACTATAGAAGTTGTCGTCTGTATGAGGTTTAAAAGAATGTGAAATTGAAAGTTTGTTGATTATAATATATAAGAAAATGTGCATATGAAAATTACTATTTAATAACATTAAAGTTTACAGAGAAATACAGTTTCTGACATACTCGTTTAATTACTTTTAGGGTCCGGAGACTGAAAGTATAACAGTGGGTCATTTTGGAGACACTACGTTGCTGCTGATTGGAAATGAAAGGCCTGGAACAATTGCAGTATACACAATAGACGAACGTCTGTCTGAAATAGCTCCAACATTTGTTACGTTTCTTACCGGAATCAACAAGTTTGATGACACCTGGGAAAATATGTATGACAGGAGGGAAATAAGCATGCTTGATCCTGAAGATATCAAGTGAGTAAACATTCGATCTTTTTCTTCCTGATCTGTATTGCTTTGGTTCCCATTGGACTTCTAATCTGTAAAGATCTGGATTTTCTTTCGTACTAGTAAAAACAGAAGTATATCCAACCAATACCTTATAATATTGAACTGAAGACTTACTGTAAAATATTGAATAACTAAACAAAGAATCATATAACAATCAAGGAAGTCAGTCTACAGATTTTAAATGTTGATGTTACATTAGGGATTGCGGTAAAATCTGAAATTAAATTCTTACACAAAAACTGAGCGAAATTCGATGTGGCGTTGATAAAACAAATCATTGCTGAACTGATGAACAGATGTTTATTTAAATTGGAACTTTCATAATAAAAGAAAACAATTTTTTGTAACTGTTTGATTGATCATTATCATAGAGTTCAGGTGAAATGTATTTTAAAAACCTTTTTTGTTTATTTAGAGATTTATTTATCTTTATCTTCAGATTTGTCCAGAGTGTTGACAGTCCAAGTGGGAAGCCTCTTTTGTTGGTCAGTGGAAGTACTAGTGGTACGGTGTCTATTATAGAAGTTAATGTTGATGTATCCCAACACCAAGGTATGTTTATAAATTCAAACTTTCAATATTTTCATGTATAAAAAAATCTGCTTAGTCCAGTGATAGGGCCAGTGAACGGTGGCATGTATTTACCATTGCCGCTCATGAACAGGCCCAACCAAGTATATATTTTCAAGTTTGCCTTGTTAGCTGATTTTTTAAGACATAATTATTTGCTTTTTTTGGTATCATTATATCTAAAACGTTCCGTTTAATGTTCTACTTATTCCGAAACTAGTAATTATTTAAATATCTGACATTTATTTTTGTATCATAACAAGTTAATAAAAACAAGTGTACAAGAATCCTTTTTTATAATGTCTTCTTTCAGCTCTTCGGTAGAAAAGATCCCCTTTGTTCAAAATCTCATGATCATTTCCGCATGTCTTACAATTTGGCTTGTATAATTTTCAATTTCTAAAATGCATTATTAGTGGACTAATTGAAGAGGTTTGTTTTATCCCAACGTAAACTGAAATAAAGATTTAACAAGAGAAAACCACCATTCATGTGTAACAATCAGATTTTTCTTTTAAAATGGACATCACAAAAAGATACGAAAAAAAAGATATTGATATTGAATTTTATTACACTAAAACATTCAATTTAAAAAAAAGTAAAGCGTGAAAGTAGACAATGTTTAATTGAGCTTAAACACGGAGGAACGTAATACAAATGCATAAACAACATTCCATAGATCTTTTACTCATGCGGAAGAAAAACGGTTAAAGTATCAATTAATATCAATCAATGTACGTTATCAATATATAATACCTTGAGTTTTATTTTTTATTTATTCACAGCTAATGATCCTGCCTTTGACGTATTCCAATAGTGTAAACTACAGAAGTTTCTTCGACTTTCATATTATTGGGGACAAGATACAACCAGATGATTCTTTGATGCTGACAAATTGTTTCCTGACGAAAATGGTCGCCATTAAAAAAATGTTGTTACTGTTTTGAAACGAATCCTTACAAACAGCGATGAAACAGTTTTGACTTATTATCTAAATGTTAAAATGTATATAAATTGACTGCAATATAATTATTAAGAAGGAAGAGTTAAAAATGACAATCAATAATCTCAAAACGGAGTCATGAAAATATAAATTATGAAATATGTTATGTTAGTAACTTACATGAACCTTATGTCATATAATATTGCAAATGTGTCATATATTATGATGGTAGATTACATGTGTTCTATTTTATGATGAAAAATAACATGTTTTCTTTGTTGTGATACTAAAACGCATGTGTTATATGTTACGATAATAAAACTATCTCTTATTATATAGGCGCTAGTAGTATTTTTTCTGTTTTGCTTTGCTAAAATTGTTTATTATAGATTTGTAATATAAATTCTTTCTGTTGAGATATAATATCTCAATTTGTTTTTGTTGCTTACATGTGTATATGTAAAACTGGAATACAAAAGTAGAAGTTCCTGTAGTTTTTATTTTAAATACCTTTAACAAACCAGAAAATATATACCTAACGATGGTCGCTATATTGATGCTGAGGTTTCATGGTATACAATGATTTTACATACAGTTAATGTTCATGTTGTACATTGTATTTGCATATTGAAATATCATCTGGCATTGAACCATTTCGCTATATTAAAAAGATTAATACCCAATATTCTTTTTGTTTTGGCATATCTGTTATCTCATAGCACTGAAATATTTTAATTTTATGTTTTTCGTCTTTGTAAACATTTATCATTTTAGCAAAAAACAACAATTATACCAAATGGAAAATGAAAGGACAACACGTTCTGACAACACTAGCCTATGCAGTATAAAAATATAAGCAAATCCATACTTAACCTTTATACACATGGGCAATTACAAATATTATGAATTGTTTTAATTCTGAAATTTAGATACTCTGGTATAAAGAAACATATAAGTATTTCAACATGTGTAAAATTTGAACAAGTGTAAATTTGTGAAAATACCCTATTTTAGAAGTATAATACATTATGCGCTGATAACTATAATGCACCAAAAGAAAGATGTAAACAGTGAAACTCGTATTTATTTCATACACAGTTACTTATATGCAAGTCATAATCTTCAAACAAACTAGAAGTTAAATAAAAAACGCAGTTACCCTGGATAGTAGGATATAAACAACATATGCTATCAAATGTATCACTTAACATCTTGCCAGTAAAAGAAGGAATGGATATCTAAACTAGTTGACTAGCTTTGGAAGTTCCTTATTCAATCAATATTCTGACCGTAACAAGTATTGTCTTATATTGGAACTTGATTGTATCAATGTACGTTTTAATATCGTGATCGTTTTAAGAAAATTTAAGTCGTTTAAACAGCGTAGAAAGCATGGGAGTCTGCTTTTTTTCTATTTTGTTGAAGATGTTTGCCATCAGCATGCTCATACTTCAATTAGGACAAAGTATCCCAACACTTTTCATCACAAAAGGCCATAAATTGTAATAGTTATCATTAAAATAACTTAGATAAATGTTCATTATTAAGAATGCTCCAAGACCATTGCAATTAATATGTATATGGAATGTTCTGAACACAAGTAAAATACTCAAGTAAAATGTCAAAGTGTCAGTTACTTAAACAATTGATAAATTCATCATAAGTGTATATAAAATATAAAGATCCATAATACTTATACATGTATTAACAAATATTACAGAGCAAAAATCAGCTTCATATAAACGATATATGAATGAGTGAATGAATGAATAAATAAATGAACAAACGAATGAACGAACGAACAAATGATGCAATATACGTATATGTTTAAACAAATTGTTGAGTGTCTGTCGAAAGTATATGAGTTGTCTTATGCTAAAAATTACATATTATACATTCATTTTTCTACCTATGCATGTCCTGTTGTTGTTGTTGTTTTCGATTTCAGAAGGCCAGATTGGAAATAAGATATATATGATTGCTATTGTATGTTCTTAATGTGTAACCTTCTTTAAATAAAGATATTATTATTATTATTTTATTATATGACAGCAAGGATCAACAATGGAGGGCGGCTTTCATGGTATTAAGTACAGCTTAATATCTTGTCATACAAAATAAACTAAAATGAACCCACTGTGGCACCGGTTCGCAAAACTTTGTTTAAATGCTCTACCAAAGCTACTTGTTGACCTTTTAATTATCAGGTCGCAGGGATATCAATAATTACTGCAGCTTGTTTTTTTTTCTTTGTTTGTTTCGTCCATACTTGTCACATATCTGTCGTGACTGCATTGTTTTGATAAAGATAATAAACAAATTCTAAACAATCCATGTCGAAGATTAAATTGTTATATAAATTCAATTGATGTCTCATTGGAAACTAGTGACTATAAAAGTAGCTTGCGAAATAGGTTTTTAATATAGCAAAAATCACTTTCAAAATACTTACATTTATGATTCCTTGCCTCATCAGCCATGCTCAAGAATACATTACGTTATAGCTGTACCTTCAACTTCCGGGAAGCAATTATCCCCCAATGCCCTAGAGAGATGCATCTAACACTACAAGATCTCGGATAGATATTCAATATTCTTATACATAGTGTACATATAATTTAACTTTCATTCTGCCTTATTTATTAGTGTCATTTTATGACATGATAGTTTTATAATATATGAATATGACATTTCTATTATGTTTTAGCATTAGTTTTAAAAATCAAAGTAAGAATAATTATGATATTTTGTTGTTATAAAAACGTTTGAGCTTTTTTTTCAATATTCTTCTATTTTGTGGTCAATTTTTGTTATGTTTTCATGTTATTATCATCATTATTATTGTTATTGTTGTTGTTGTTGTTTGTTATTGTTTGTATTGTTGTTATTGATGTTGTTATAAGTTTCATATATATACAACTCAAAAGAAATATCTCAAAAGCTAATTAAAGAATAAAAAAACATGTATTGTTTTGTTGTTTACATTTATTTCAACTGTAGAAATTACATGGTTGAAGGGTATACGCATCATTACGTCACATTTCAGCCTAAAATAGAGCTTGGTTGTGTGGCGGTCTCGCCTCTTTCTAGAAGAAACATGTCATGACGGGAGCAGTAATTACGTGTATATTCTGGAAGGTTCGGGTCATCATGATAAATTCTTGTCTCTGGAAGCTGACCTACCCATTCTCTCATCATCTTTAACTAGAAGTAAAGTTATGTTTAAAATAACGAAATTATTGTATTTCCCTTTGCCAAAGATCCTGAATCAAGGTGTTATATAGGATTTGCCTTACAAGTTTTATACGATTTAATGGTTTCGTTATAAGCTAAAAGATATTATCTTCATGAAATCATTTTCTTTCAATGTTTTTAGAAACAAGCATAATGAATTCAAATATTAGTTTAATGAAAAGAAAAACAAACGTGTACCAAGATTTTGGCATGAATTTAATAATGTCTGGGACAAAATGTTCATATTTTGTATTAGATAATACATGTTTTTGCATGGGACATTTTAATAATTTCAGCATATAACAGCATATAACGTTCAGACTAAACTAAGTATTATAATGTGAACGGAGTCCAGTCATTCTTTGGGGAATAAACATCTGAAGAAGTATAAAATTTACCTCAAGATCCCCAAGTCCTCTGGAGGAGTGGATATGATCAATTTCATCGTGAGTTAACTTGACCAAAAAGCACGTGCTATATGTTCGTGTAATGAAATGACTCTGAAAAAAGTTCGAATGAAGAATAATTTACTTGTATAAATTATATTGATAATTCCAAAGCTTAACAAACAAACAAAATATATTTGCCTTCTGTAAAATTTATTGTAATGCGCTAATATGACAAGTGGCAAAGAAATATACGTAAAACATATATAACTGTTATATATATATATACGAGTTTGACAATGATATACAAGTTCTAATATTAGCAATGAGCAATAATATTTTAATGCTTTGAGTAATACTACTTACGTTCCCTAGCTATAGGCTTTTGAATAGTACTAAATTTATAGGCTTTTGAATAGAACTATCAAAAATTAATGATTTCACAGATATAAAGATAATACACACATATATACATAAAGTGAGTGTTATAAACTGTGACTAGTACAACTGCTTATCAACAAAATGACCTGTATATACATAATAGGTTTGAAATAGACATGTATTATCTTTGACGCAATGTTAAGGTCGTATTTCCGATGATATGCAGTTGTTGAGTTCATAAATAAATATTCAACAATAATGTTTGGTAACATTTTAACGTTATTCGGTTACATCTGGCCAAAATGTCTTTAAAACATGTTACCAAATTGTGAGTTTATACTTTTACTTAAAAATAAACTGTTTTAATGTCCTTATCCTGACTCCATACAGCAATTCACCCTATGACTTAAGCACATATTATATTTAAAGCACTTTTTGATACATGATAGAGAATTTTTTTTTATCCCAGTAAGTTCATTTTCTTTAGTTCCTTTGGTAATCATGTTTACATTTTTGGCTGATATTTTTGTGATTATTGTTCTGTTTTATTACTATATGGGGTTCTTATATATCTAAATATCTGGAAAAAAATGTAAGCACTACAATCAGCAAAATTACATTGCAGACTCTGTTTGATTCAGTCTGTACATGTGGGATGATAAAAAGTGCAACATCTTACGCACACCCCTAGCACCGGCTTGAACGGTATGCAATCGTCATTTGCTGGAATCAATGATCCCGTAGGCAATGATACAAATTGCTATTATTATCTTTTTTCATTGTGCTAAGAGGCCTGTGATATGAGTTGTTCTGTATTACCTTCTTTTCACAAACAGACTCAGTAAAACTTTCTGCAGTTGTCATTTATGTAATGTTTTCTTTTTTGCTGAACAGAGATCTTACATCTTCAGAACAGTAACTTTCAATAAAAGCATTTACAAAGAAATAATAGTTTGTTAAATTTTAACTAGAGAGATGAATCGACTTACGAGAGTAGGTTCAAACATGAAATTTATCTGACTGGACTCCGAGTGATCATAGTAAGGTATGGTTGTATGCGGCGGGTTAGCACCGTTCACATAACATACAAAACTTGCCAACTGAAATTGTAAAAACAGATTACAAATACTGCAATTATGTACGATCACAGTAAACTACTTGCAAGTTCAATATCATAACATCTCTGAATCAGTGAATTAGTGATTAAATCATTCCATGTACGCACATAATGTACTTTTCATTAGCGATTGACATTTTAAGATATTTTTAAAAGATAATCAAGAATAAAAATACATATGTCCTATTTGATGATTTTAGAAATGTTTGAAATAAATTTAGCGTAGTTTCTGACTAACCAATATGCCAAATATTTTGTAAGCCATTTTCATCGGAATAATTCAACTCAATGGTCTTAAAGATGTCTCAAATAATCATATGTACTATACATAGAAACAA